AGCCCGTGACTAACAGAGGGAGAAAAGAGTAAAGTCTTCAGTTTCAATTAGAGAGAAATCCTTCAGAGATTCACTTTAGAGCAGAAAATGAGTTCTTAAATAGGACGACAAATATACCCGACTGTCTCAGTCGAGACAAATATTTCAGTGAAACTCACCCACATCACAGAGTATCTTTCTAATGTGATGAATAATGAATCAACTAGGTCACTTTTGTCAAGTTAAAGAAGACGTGTAGAAATCGCTAGTCTTGAATTGGTGTTGTTCCCCCCCGTACTGGAAATGCTGGAATCATGCATATTATTGGAAGTATTCATACCAATAATATGTATTTATGTAATATTATTTTTGTTTTCACTTGATACATTTGGATGTCTGAGTCTTAATCCAATATAGTCCTAACTTCTTATTGCGTGCATGTGTTTTTCCGAGCAGACTTTCTGTGATTTAAGGAGTATTTCCACTATCATAATTCCTTTTGATTGATTATTTGTTGACAGTATTTGTACTTCCACCCAGCCTTGACTTATTTATTAACCACATTTCCACCAGTTAATGTCTGTAATAGCTTTCTGGATCGTGGTTTTGCCGTAATGTGCACTCTTTATGAGCGTGTGTCTCTGTGTGAGTGTGAGTGTGTGAGCTATTTATTTTGACTGACATTCTGTCGCTTCCCTCGAAGGGAAACTTGATCATTTATCATCTTTCAAACAGCTTCATTATGCACCCAACATTCCTACACACACACACACACACACACACACACACACACATATATCACCAACAGACTGTGCAGTATATGACAAACGTTTGACGTCTCCAGCTGAGCTTCAGCTCCGCTTTACATAAGAGAATCTTTGTTAATCATGAATGTAAAGTTGATTAACAGCAGTAGACTACAGCTTTCTGCTTATGCTAAACTGTTTTAATTGCAGATGTGGGATGTTAAATACATGGGTGATGTACTTGTCCTTTTTTGTTCCCCGTCTTCTGCACCGTGATAGCTGATGTAATGTCTCAAGCTGCAGAGGTTTAGCTGGAACAAAAAGCGTTTATGCTCTGATGCCCAGTAAAGTAAGTAGAGACTAACACACATTTGTATTTGCTTTACGTTTTTATTCCAATCCCAAAATGGATTTTTTACGTTTGTGCAACCGACTATGTATCACTCACTAACACATTTTGTCAGAAAATACCGAGATCTTCTGTTAATGTTGCACTAGCGACCTGATGTGTGCATGTCTGCGTGTCATGCAGAGTTGGTCCCTGGCTGGGTGCCATACAGCTGGAAGCCATCACAGAACCAATTACTTTCTGTCTCTTGCTCTCCTTTGCTCTCCCGCTTTCTTCCCTTCTCCCGCTTTTGGTCTCTTTATCTTTCTTTTCAACTTCCATTTTCTCTGACGGTTTGATTTGAATTCTGCAGGCCCGTCTCTTTCAGAACCCGAGGGTTGTCGTTACCGTTAACCTTCTCTCTCACATCTCCCTGCCACCAACTGGTGTGTAGCTCATCACCACCAAACACACTTCCACTCTGCTAATCATCTCCCATGAGGCGTCTGTGCGACTTCTCATGCCCGTTGATTCGCATGTGAAAGGTTTGTACGCCTGCGTTTCCCCCCAAAACGGCGTACGGACCACTTTACAGTAACATGTCGCGAGCGAGAGCCGCTATAAACACTGATTACAGATTGTGTGCTGAATGAACTTGTCACTGGAGAGAGGGAGAAAGAGGGAGAGGGAGTTAACAGTGTAAACAAATGAGGAGTGTAATGAGGATAAAGCACCTCTGTGAACAAGTGAGCTTTTGTCTTCACTCATACCTGCTCTCTCGCTTCCTGTCTCACACGCACACACACACACACACACACACACACACGCACACACACACGCACACACGCACACACGCCCACATACACACACACACACAGTCTCACACGTGCACAGATCTTTGATTATGTGTAGAGTAGATGGTAAAAGATTGAAGAGTCTCAAAGGTCTGCTGAGTGAAACCACCAACTCCAGGTATATCCAGGTAAATATTAATGTTAGCAGAAAATATCAACACATACTGAATGTCAGAATACAAGCTCGTCTGCATTCATCCATGTTCAGCAGATCATTTTAAACCATCGGCAGAGGATGCAAAGCATCATCTCTGTTATCATCTCTAGCCCACCGTGCACATTGACCACACTGTGTCCTGTATAAGCGTGTTACAGATGTTCCTGGCATGCCTGCTGGATAAAAAAGATACCCAAACCTATTGCCAGTCCATTCAAATTCCCCAAAAATATTTTTGGAAATGTGCCAGATGATAATAATATTTAAAGTCTGTGTTTTTAGCCTCTTTCTCTGCATTTAGCTCGTCGCCTGGAAGCAACGCGTTTGTGATGAAAGTGGCAGCGTGGTAGCAGACAACTAAGAACAACCGCCATGCAAAGAATTTCTCAATGCGCTAAAGGAGGCCACTCATTCTGAAAAAGGGGCAAATAGCTACAACGCACTCACACAAACACACAGACGGGGATGTGGTCGGGCGTCACGCCAGATGCTCCGAGAGAAGGAAACTCACATTCTTGTGATGGAGAGTCATCGAGTATCAGGTTCCATAGACTCTGGCAGAGACCGGAGAGCCCCCTTCCCAACCCAGCACCCCATCACACACACACACACAGACGCACACACATGGAAACAAACACATAGGGGCTCACTTTGACGCCGTCTTTTTTGTGTGTGCATAAGGATCAGTTAGTTGCTTGAAAACACAGAATTGCTGCTTTTTTCTGTTCTCTCCAGATCCCTCTAACTGTCTGATCCTCCATGCAGTTTGAATGAATCACTTCACAAGCGCCGGTGTACAATCACGGAGAGAACTGCGTCAGTCCGTGGTGAAGAAGTTCCTTGCAGACAAATGGATCCAGAGGAATCCTTTGGTTTGATCCAGTGCGAAGTCCACAGGTCAAGTGATCATGAGACACAGTGGATGTGCCATTTCTTATTTCTCCACCAGATGTCCCTGTCAACCTACTCGCCTACACTGATGCTCAAGTACATATTCAACAAATCAGTGCACAGATTTCCCCGAATCCTCTGTGTGTGACTTGAAGCCGACACAACTCCCATGTAAAGCTACTTGAAACATATCGCTCTGTCGCGGAAGCAACATAAGTCAAAAAAATGCAGTCCTATTTGTTAGGTTTCAAGTTTTGAGATATTTATGGTCAAACCGAATGCACAACGATTGCAGAGAAGCAGTCATCTGCAATGGAGATCTTAACTGTCCTTAACAAGGCTGATGATATGGTCTATTTATGAGGTTGTGGTCCTGGCACCAGAGGATTTGGCATGTCGGCACTACCAATGTTATGTGCTCAGATGGTCTTCCACTCATGCTTATTTCTTGTTGAGAGGCTCACACCACTCCGGTATGTCGCGTGACTCAGCAGGAGAAGGTTCAAATGTTTGTTCAATCAATAACTGCTTCAGGTAACTAGACAGACCGGTTGAATATCTGCGGATGAAGAACGTTCAGGAACATTCTGTCACGTAACAGCTGATAAAGGTACCAGAAACAAAGATTGGGATTTACAGCAACATTTTTAAAATGCCAAAATGATTCTTATGTCACCATCAAATTTTTGTGTCTCACAACCTTGGAGGACAAAAAAACAGCTTCCGCTGTCTCTCCAACCGCGGGGCCCGACCCCCTGGTGGGTCGCACTGCCGTTACAGGGGGGCACGTGGAGGAATTCAGAACTATTTTGTTTCAAGACCTTTTTCAAGAACTATTGAGACGTTTCCAGTTTACGAAAGTACACAGGCTGCTGTTGCCTCAGATCCAAGCATGAATCCAAGTTGAGCGTGAATGGAGGAGCCGTGTCAAGCCTGCAAACATGTTCATGAAAATATTTGTAGTTGAAAGGCTCGCCGCAGCCACTTATACTGATGTGTGATATGTTTCATCAGTATGAGATGGTTCACACCTGCACTCATTTTTGTTTTGCACAGGTTGCACATTTGTTTTAAAAATATATGCAGTGTTAAACTCCTCATTTATTGATTTGTTTTTCACAAATTGCACTTATGAAAAGATGTTGAGCGCAAAACAGGTTAATTATAGCTGCGATAAACAATTTACTGCTAAATCTCTGTTATTTTTTGCAGATGATCTATATTTGCATTATTCTAACAAGATGGTTGTATATTTGATTTGTTTTTGTCTGATGAACCAATCTGGTTTACCTGAAAGTGATTGCTATGTTTTTTTTTTAATTATTTCAAAAAGCGTAGATGGAGGAGTCAGAAAATGTTATTTCAATAAAAATTCAACATTATTGGGGGGTGGACATTTTTCTTCCTCCAAAGTGAGTTTGAGCTCTAAAAGTTGGTTTCTTGTTTTCTATTTCAAGATTTGACAAAAGAAGAAAAATGTAAATCTCTTTCAGGCTACTCCTCTTCCTTCTTTGGCGACGAAGAGATGTCTGCGACGGCAATCAGTGCTGCTTATCAGCTTGTTTAACTATACTGTAATTTGGCTAACGACTAAATAAATGCCCAAGGAACAAACATACAAATGAACAAACATTTTCCCTCGCATTATGCATCTATGAGTGTGTCCTCGTGCAGCAAAGCGATCATCGCGTGATGATGATCGCTTTGTACAACAGAATAAATATTTAGTAGTTAGAAGTTCTACCAAAGTTCTACCAAAGATACCATTCAAAAATATTTGTAATTTTTCAGGATTTGGGGTTTTGAGTTTTTAGTAAGGCCTTAATACACTTTTTCAGTCAAGCCCCCCCTTTGGTGATGAAGACACAACATTGAAGCTGATATTTGCGCTTTACACCAGTAACAAATCCGCCGTGGCACATTCGTGCAATAATTTATCTCTAATCTCTCTCTCTCTGTCTCTCCCTCTCTCTCTCTCTCTCCTTACCCCCGGCACACCTACCTACCTAGGCGGGGCACCCTGCAGTTTGGGAGTCCGTGCTTTATGAGATGTTGATGGATGAGAGGTTGTGATATCTCTGTTGCTATAAAAGCTGTCAGCGGGAACCTCCCCGGCGCCGCTTGACAGAAGCTGGTCCGTCTCTACTCTGGGATTCATGCCTGGAACGCACAGCGCAAAGGTAGGACCACCAGCAGGGCTTTAACCTGTTACTAAATGTCTACCTATTTATTTGTATGAACTAACATTTAAAGGTAATCAAATTATGGTTGATATATTATTCCCTCTTTTAAGAGCAATAACATTTGATGTAGTGTTGATCAAAAATAAATGAACTCAAACCCTTGACTAGAGTTAGTAAATAAAGCATAATGATAACCAGAATTTATAATGGTCATTAAATATTTCTTTCTTTTTGAAATACTATGCATTTGTGATGGAGACGTAATGTGCTGCAAAGTGAGAACCTTTCTGCTCTCCTCTCAGGATATTCACGAGGATATCAACTGTCCTGCTGCCTGCTCCTCTCGCGCTGCCAAATTCACTGTAAGTCAATGCTCACAGTTCATGCACATACGTTCTGCGTGTATTTCACATGCTGCAAAGGGTTTTGGAATGAGAGATTCTCCGATGGATGTATAACCAAGAAAAATGATATCTGCAGGAGCTCCAGCCCCTGATGGCAAACATCGAGCCGCCGCGTGAGCATGACAACTCCCCGGTGGACCCCGAGCAGCCGGGGCCAAGAAACCAGCAGGGGGCCGGGGCCCGCTTCCTCAAAGGAGTCTCTTACTTCTCTGGAGACATGAAGGTGTTTGGAAAATGGATGGAAAGTAAGTTTCCTCTGGCAACACAAAGGCTGAAACATTCCTACACATGACGTCTCTCAGCGGCACTTCTTCTAGCATTCTTTGATCGTCAGCAAGGATAAGCTTCTTTGTTACGTAACTGGAACTGAGACAATACTTGAAGTAAAGTTAAACGATACAATCTATGATTTATGTGTGTTGCTGTCACTTCTAATTACATCATTAACTTTAACAAGGCCGTAAAGTTTTAGACGTTCAACATGTTCCCTGGGAAGACAAGGGTGATGTGACCTTGAACAACGTACGAACGAATGTACCCGCTGTTATTATTTATCAGCTACGACTTGCACAACATTCAACGCGGAAGCCTCAACGCCGTCTATCTGCTCCTTCTTTCTGTCATCCAGAGCAGTTTTTCCTGCTGCAGCTGCTGGACTGGGTTCTGCGTGGAGCTGCTCAGGTGATGTTCGTCAACAACCCTCTAAGCGGCCTCATCATTTTTGCTGGTCTCATCCTGCAAAACTACTGGTGGGCTCTCAACGGCTTTGTGGGCACACTCTTTGCCACCATTTCTGCCCTCATTCTGCAACAGAACAGGTTTGAACAAACTGATACTGCACATGTTAATAAATTAAATCTTAGTTAGACGTTACTGTGTATGAAGAATTCAATTACATTGAATACAAACAAAAGTGGATGAAATGAGAATGTGCGACGATTTCACACAGTTCTGCGTGGCAAAATGTTTTGAATTAATCAATCCAATTCACTTTTCTATCAGGGGTGCAATAGCCTCGGGGCTGTATGGTTACAACGGCATCCTGGTGGGTCTGCTGATGGCGGTGTTCTCCAACAAAGGAGACTGGTACTGGTGGCTCCTGCTCCCAAACATCTTCTTGTCCATGATGTGGTGAGTAACTAGTGGAGTTTAAAATGATGCAGTGTAGGGATTTAATAAGAAATGTACATGGCACGTGGTAGTATGACCATTTAATGACTATACTTCAATAACGTGTTTGGTGTCCCTGTGTTTTCAGTCCGATCGTGTCCAGCGCGCTGGCATCCATCAACAGTCGATGGGATCTGCCAGTGTTCACGCTGCCCTTCAACATCCTGGTGTGTCTCCACATAGTTGCCACCGGACACTACAACCACCACTTCCCCCAAGTCCTCATTCAGCCGCGCTCAGAGCTGCCCAACATCACCTGGGCTGAGATCGACGTGTCCAAGGTCAGCGATGAGGCCACGGTGTGATCATAACAGCTCTCGCTTTAAAACACGTTGCCTGCGACGTGTCTGATCAACATTTTCCGTGGGAGCTGCTGTGGTTATCATACACAAGATGAGTGAACTGTGCTGTGGATTTACAATAAACTTCCTGTGTTCACCTCTCAAGCTGTTCATGTCGGTGCCTGTGGGAGTCGGCCAGGTCTACGGCTGTGACAACCCGTGGACCGGAGGAATCTTCATTATCTCACTGTTCATCTCCTCCCCTATCACCTGCGCTCATGCAGTGCTGGGATCTGCCGTGGGCATGGTGTCAGGTGAGAGGGCAACGCCTCAGCAGGCGAATGAAAACGTGTTTCTGTCCCTAAGCTTAGAGAGCTTGCATCTACAAGACAACTTATTTTGCTTCCTTGCGTACTTTCAGAATAAATTCAAGCCACAATCGATATGTTCCAACCACAAGATGAAATCCCCGGGAATTCCGTGCAAAATGACGAGGAGGGTCATCATTTCTTAAGACAATCCAAGCTGAAACCTAACTCGGCATTTATTTGATGGCTGTGATTCAATATTTTGCAGGTTTGGGTCTGGCGGCCCCTTTTAAAGACATTTACTTCGGCCTCTGGGGATACAACTGTGTGTTGGCCTGCATTGCCATCGGAGGAATGTTCTACGCGCTCACCTGGAAGGTGCATCTCCTTGCCATCGCGTGTGGTTAGTACACATTAAAACACTGTCCATAAAAGGACGACAACATGACGAGTGCGATATTGTCATCTGACAGCATCTCTCTCCTTCTCCAGCTTTCTTCTGCGCGTACCTCGGCTCAGCCATTGCTAATGTCATGTCAACGGTAAGCGTCTTCTCACTTAATGAGCAGTAGTTTCTCCTGCAACGGCGCGTAACGCTTGATTGTCATCTCCAGTTTGGCCTGCCATCCTGCACTTGGCCTTTCTGTCTCTCCGCCCTCACCTTCCTCCTCTTACCACGGGAATCAGCGCGGTCTTCCAGACTGCCCGCGGGCCAAAAGTCACCTACCCCGAGAAAACACCTGCGCTACTTCTGGAAGCTGAAGAAAGCAGGAGAAAATACAAACGGCCGACAAGGGAGAGGATAGAAAGTGAGGAGGAGCAGAAACGCATCAAAGAAGAGGTGGTGATGAACGAGAAAGAGCAACTGAGGCTAGAACTTGAGAGGTTGGAAGAGAGGAGAGGCGAAGGTGAGGCGTCGGACGATAAAGATGAAGAGGTGGAACAGCAGGGTACTGAAGATGTCAGACACGACGATCTAACCGAGGTCGCTGTTGCTGATCTTGTTTAATGCCGCATTTCTGCAGTAGGAGAGATGAAAAAAATATCACAAAATACCACACCACCAATTCATTCATTTCTAAATTGTGGTACAGGAGGCAAAATGTGTCAATAAATATTTATAGCAAATACGATAAGTATGCTTTCAAAAATGGAGACAAAACCAACCGAACACTTCACCCAGAGAAGAAGTGTTTGTCAGGACAATCTGAATCTGAGTTCATTTAATGTGCATATAAATGAACTTGCTGCTGTTTGAACAAGTCCTGCAACAACTGCTGGACACAAAGCGCAGCTTGGTGCTTGCAGTTTATATGGAAACTTGTAGGTTTCAAAGAGCCTAATTACCTCACTAAATGTAAAGACGGTCCTTGAAGGAGACAGTACCTTTATGTTGCAGCCTGATGTGTATTAACATGACACAACCTTCAGGACATTGTTAGGACATTAAATGTCCGCCACACAGATACACATGTGTGTTTTTGTTCATTTGTCATTTTCATGCTATACATAACATGTCATTAGCATATAATAATTGTAATGTTATATTAATATTATTTTAACATTATTCTGTGTTATTGTATTTTTTATCATCATGTCAATAAAGCAACTCTGAAATTAAATGGATTGGATACAGTAATAGAACTTTTATTATTTGAGAGCTGAGTAATGTCTGCGGAAATATTATTTGGTGGGCATAATATAATATAATAACGTGTGAAATTGGCCACAGACACATCAGTACATGTCTCTCACTACACTTTCACTGTGGAATTGCACAACCTACATTTTAATTAGACAATAAATGAAGTTACCAAAGGTCCAGCTGAATGAATGGTATCCTTTCGTGGAATCAAAGTAAACCTGTCCTTGGACGGCGCCACAAGAGAACACGCATCCACAGCAACATTTCATTGATGCGAGTCAGACCGTGGTGTCGCCGCATGATGTAATCCAGAATTTACCCAGGGCCCATCGTGCAGCAGATTTAATCTTTGTTAACCAACAATCGGCCAAAATATAAGGTCTACGAAGAAGAATTGATAACAACAATTAATCCGTCATCACATAAGAAATGGGCAAATGTGTTTTCAGGTATTTTTGCCCCTTTTACAATAAATAATTAGTCTTCACTTGTGGCTTCTTTTGCCTGTTTTGAAAGCTACAACTGGTCAAAAAACATGAAAGTGCATTTGAAAATGTAAATACTTTCCTGCGCACAGGCCGTTCTGTGGCTTGAAGAAATATTTTACAGCAAGAAGTCATCTTTTTGTTTCCGCTGTAACGAAACGGATGATCGGCATGGCTCTTGATGTGGTTGACGTGCACAGGTGTCACATTGACCTCGGTCTTGTGGTTATACCTTCGACAGCTACTCTTCCTGTTGTGCCTGTTTCTCTCTCTTAATTTACTCCAGTGGGTGTGATTAACTGAAAGAGGCATGGGAGATACCACATGTATGTGATCAAGAGATGATCAGATAAGCAGACACGGCACAACTGTCCAGAAGCTTCCAGGATTTTTACACAGAATTTAAACATAAAACTGCAGTCTTCGCTAATTGAGAAGCTAAATTAAGTATCAATAACTTACGAAAGGTGAGTACAGAAGTATAAAACACAAATTTTTTACTTACAAATAAAACAAAATATCTGAAGAAAATGCATTAATATGATTTACTGATAATGAATTTGTTTCAGTCTTTAAAACAAAATTATTTTAAAAGTGGGATAACAACTTCCTCACAGTTTACTTTTTTTTAAAACTAACCCCAGCAGCTTTATCATGTAACAAATCATTCAAAATGCTTCAATGACCTGAAGTGACGGCTGCGTTAGATCTACTGAAAAAGTATTTTTGCCCGTTCAATTAATATGAGTCTGTATTACACCACTGTGCGTATTGACCATTCAGATCTAATGTTAATGTGATAAGGCTCAATAGACACACGTTGAATAATGTCAAAAAATGACTATTACTGTTAAAAATATATACTCATTTTCCACTAAAGCTAAACGTCTTGGCAGTATTATAACTCAAAGGAGCAGGTTCTGGAGCTGTCGCCATCATCATGAGACACGCATTTCATCATCATACATGTGAAATAGTACCAACCTCATGAGGACTAGAAATAATACTCATCTTTTTAGAAAAAATGTAAAGGGAACTGCAACAAAGTCGTCCATAAAGTTGTCGATAAGTTTAGGAGCCACAGCGGATGTTTTGCATGGACCAGAGAGGGGCAAGTTAGAGGGACCTCTAGTGGAGCAGCCGTGCTGCGTTTTGACAGAGGAGTGGTTGCGTAATGTGGACCATGTTGCTATCCTAACATCTCAGTAACATGCAAGTTATCACAACATCTGAGACTCAGCCAGCCTGTCTGTGGAAAGGCCTTGTTTTCTAAGTGGTAAGATTAGAACTGAAGGGTCAGAGAGATTAAAACGTCTTATTTTAAATGCAGGATCATCTCATGATGAGAAATCATACAGTGAAAGGAGAATGGCCTGGAAGCAACTTTCAAATAGCGCAAACAGACAAATTCACATCTTTAACAAAAGAAATGAACGTCAATCCATTATCCCAACAGACATCGTCAGCTGATCCTGATGAAAATGCAAAACTCTGCATTCATCTTAGAAATCACAGAGGTCATGTTTCAATCCACATTGCTGCTTAATACCGTTAACATGTCATAATTACCATTTGACAGCAACGGTGAAAATAAATAGAGACAGAGACTGAAGAGTGGAGGTGTGGAGCATTGTGTCGTTCTTCTCCCCCGGTCACAGTTCTTTGTCACTGGCGTACCAATAGATCACACCGATCAATGTGAGGCCCACAGAGCTGCAGCTGCGAATGCAGGCGTCTGTGACCGTGCACAGCGCCACTGATCACCCTCGATGCAGCGCTGCATCTTTACACTTGCTCTTCTAATAAGGTGTCGTGACTGAACGAGCTCAACAGTGAGTTGTCCATTGTTTGATGAACTAGGTGTGTGACACCAATTAACTTTCTAACCATTTAGTTTCACGACTTTAACCTCCTACATACCTGCCGACTGGATTCCTAGAAGAGTGCGCGCGTCGCTCAGAGATTGAGTTAGCCGCATTCTTTACAAAGTTACAAAGCATTCTTTACTGCACGTCAGCAGTGCAAAGATATAAAAATGTTGGGCGCAGTCAGGCCTGTAAAGTGACTTTGTGTAGTCATGCAAGTACCTCCCTCGACTTCAGCAGAACATTTTATGAGACGTGTCAAAAAAGAAAAGTTTGTATGCGTGAATGGAGGCTCGATTACAGGTTTGTCAACACAGAAGGATTACATGTTTACACCTCCAATGAAGAGCAGTGCACATTGTATGTTTCTTTAGTGCAAAGTAAGACTAAAAAGCTAAGACTACAAGACAGGTGGAAAGGGGACGGTATATTAAGACTATGTAGTAGTTTTACGGTTTATTGAAGCACAGAAAACACAGAAGTACCACGTTTTTTTTTTTTCCGTTTAAAACCCAAAACTAAACGTAACGATTGTACTTTTTTGCATTTTTAAAAGAGACACAAACCACAGAATCCAGACCCCTCGGTTACTGGCCACCCCGCATTGATTGAAATGAAAACTTGCTGCTGTTTCATTGACAACATCTGACACTGACACTTTTCCAGGACATTTTTCTACAAAGGGGAATTCTGTGTCGGAACAGCCCAAAAAATCATGTGGACTTGCATACTTGTCATTTTATGTGTTTGGACAAAGTGTAAATAGCATGACAGCAGGGGAATTGGAAGGCCCAGTTAATCTATTTGTGTGACTGTAGCCTCAGTGGGACATTGAGGAATGCATCTGGCTCAGAGACACGGGAGGCACTAACATGCGTCATCATTAGAGTCAATACAAGGCTTCTTAGAACGTTGAATTCATCTTAAGGTGAGAATGCAGCCACGACTGGCTACACAAAATATTACAAAGGTTGCTACAGCGGAATCTACAGACAAAAAGGGGACACTTAAAGTTTAGTGGAACATTCCATGTACAGAATTTAAATCCGTAGTTTAAATAGTAGCCTACAATATATCAAAACAAAGTAAAATATTAATCAAAGCAAAGAAAAGGTTTCCATAAGAGCTAGACAGACAAGCGAGGAGTGTGAATCACATGAAAGACATTTCAATCGCATCAACATGTTTTTCAAAAGAAAGAGTAGAAAATATATTTTTTGTGCTTAAATGTGACAGAGTTTGGAGAAATGGCTTTAAGTCATCCTCAGATATTTTTATTCGAATCTTAAAAGTTGCGTCATATTTAGTATTGTGTCGTAAATACAATGATTTCCTTCGTGGTTTATTAAAGAAAAGAAAATAAAGTCTTCAGAAAAAAACAAATCTTTTATTTATATCTTATTCACATAAGGAGCAACAGAGTTTCAAAAGCATCTGTAGCATTTTATCCCGGTGCTAAAACAGAGACAATCTGATTGGTATTTAATATATATTCTACTACAATCCCGTCATCAGATCGCACACATCCCTGATTCACCAACTTCTACTGAACCTGGTACCTGATTGACATCAGCAACTCTTGTCTCTTAAAAGCTATTCGACTGACTTCCCACGAAACGCAGCTTCTCTTAACAAAGTATGATGGAACATCAAAGTGCCGGAGCCTCAATGAAGATGATTAATTACTCTGAATGGCGGCAGCTGAAAAACGTGTGACGCAGCGATCGAGGAGTGTATTTAAAAGCATATTGTTAACGGCTGTTAAAAAGGACTGGATGGAACAAGCTAATACTCAAGTGAAATACGGGTAATGATCTAAACTACACCTTGACCCTTCAAAGTAAAGTGTCATCTGTCAACTGTTTCCTGTTCGGAATGCTCAATCCTCTGGACCCTTCATTCTGCTGACGCCCCCGACAGAGATGTTTCAGGACAAGATAATATGACGACCCCAAAAAATATCTCCTAAAAAGGTGTTCAAATAAAGTAATGAAATCTAAAAGCGGGTTATTTCCTCAATTATCTGGAATACCATGTTGGGGACAGAGTGACTAAGTAAGTAGTACCATTTTAAATGAAGCGGTGACTAAGAGTACAACTGCATTTCAATAAAATCCACAAAAGTAGCTGGGCTACTCCTCGTTAACAAGAAGCAACAGGACTGGTTCACGTTGGAGTAACTTTAAACCTGCTTTATATGTATTTGGCTGATAAAGATCTTCCTGGACAGATTCGCCACGCCCAACATAAATGTTCTTCTATTTACGCTGGATCTCCAATTTGCACTTAGCCCTTAGAACACTTCCATTCATCAGCAGATTACCTCCCTGGAGGAGTCTCAATCAAAAAATACAGCGACAGTATTTGACCTATCATCTTAAACCATCTTAAACAAGTATACATTTGATCTACACACTCTATATACACACACGCACACAATACTAAGCAAATCCTAAAAAGTTCAAAGTCAAGATGTTTAAAACGTTATATCCAAAATTGCAGGAGAAAACACAGTAGGGTTGAACATATTTACATCATAATTAAAAGCTTTCAGTGAGAGCACTGCTGGCAAAAAGATATCAAGATAACAACTGAACTGATCAGAGCTAAACCGGGCTAATGAGCGGCACAGGAAGAACAAAATCAACATTTGGCTTTTGGCTCGCCTGCTCTCCCTGAAGACACATTGGTTGTTGCTTTAAAGCTGCACTGCTGTGCAGTACGCCACCTACTGTACACAGTGGGGAGGTTTCTCAGTACATTCGACTCGTACAAACACACCAAGAAAAGCATGAAAAATAAGATAAATGCATTTTGTAACATGGACATGGAGGGTGTCAGTTCAATTCAAGAATGATTCCTCTCTAAAAGTACCAGTAATTAACACCTCTCATTGCAGAAAATCCCTGACAGCTGTTTAAACATATATCACACAATGTGAGATAAAGTCCAGGACTGACACACACACACGTTAACATTCTTTATACTTCCTCTTTTCGAAGTGGCCACTGCACAGCTCATACAGTTCAGGGCCTGAGAGTATGTAGAGGAAAAGGAGTGAGGCTGAAGCAAGATGCTCAAGCATGAGGTCTAAACGAGAGCTGCAGAGGAGCGGTTTGGTCGACAGCATAAAGAGTGAGGAGTGCGTTTGCATCCGACAACTTCCTGTCGGACACACAATCAGAGCCACCCTGAGCTGGCAAATAAAACTCACAGGAACAATAGAGGCCGCCGGGAGAAAGCGAAACCTCTGGCTTTGATTAGTACTCTGGCCTGGTTAAAGGAGTAGAGCCGCTGTGTTACAATAGTGCAAACACTGTTGTTGTCTTGACGATTGGGCACACTGGATGGAGCGGCTGCATTAGAGCCATTTTTCGAGCGTGGCCAAGTTCTTTTCCATCCAGCGCTGGTTCAGCCGGATGGTTTCCAAAGCTTCCTGCACGCTCCTCATCTGAGAGCCGCGCTCCCTTAAACTATAGAAGAAGCCCTGAACCTGCACAACACACACACACTCAGATGTTAAGTCACCTGAAATCAAATACACTGCATAAGAAAACATATTTAAAAAAAATAAACATACTTGATCAAGATGCGCCTGTGTGGAGAAGTGAGAGGTGGCCGACTTGATGATTGTCTGGATGGCAAAGGAGCCCACAGGGAACCTGTAGCCAAAAACACAGAATTTCTCATTTTGATGATGCCATTCACAAGTGAAATGATCTTAAACATTCTGTGACAACTCGCGTGGAGCCGAGAGGGACCACTTACTTCTCAATGAGGCTGTCCCAGTTCTCTTGGATAAAATCCCAGACAAACAAGTAGCCAGTGAAGCCATTACACACAGTGCTGATGACCAGAGGCAACTCCTGTGTCTGGATGACGTCCCCCCTCAGACCTGCCTTTAGGACCCTAGAATAGAGCGCAGGAAGTGTTCACATGACTCCCATAGAGCATGAAAAGTAATGCTTGTCAAACCATTTAATAACAAATGAACAAATACGTTGAGTTTAAAATACCAAATGGCAAGTGATTCAGTGACTGAAACCCTCAATTGTCATCAACATTACGGAGATGAATATTGCAACTTCATTATTTTCTTTCCTTTTAATTCAGTTGAACACATCTTGATGCGGTAATGAGGACAGCACCAAAGAACATAGTTCTTCATAGAACATGTAGTCCATTATCTGGGAATGTTGTCTGTTTTATGTGTTTATTTTACTTCAGGCACCATGAACTATTTTCTTTATTGCATAATCCAACATTTTGGTGTTATTTTAGTGGTCCCTAAAAAAACAGTCTGTACTGCTGCACGAAATGAACTGCCACTGGACATTCTCGATATTGCTGCTCTGTTATCCATGTGACCTGTGTGTTGGATTCCTCTTTCTTTCAGTTGATGACCACACACACACACACACACACACACACACACACACACACACACACACAAACACTTACCATACTATGAGCCGTGCGTCCTGAGTAGACGCCAGGCCCCGGAGCATTTTCCGCTTCTCAGCATCATAAGTGGCCTGTCCGTACATGGTGAGCAAAGTCGCCCAATCTTCATTTGATTGAGCGGCCACAGTGAATACGACTTGCTGCAGATCACCTGGGATCCTGCAGGAAGTAAACAGATGCAAACCTATTTTAGGACCAAAGAGGAAAAGAAAAGTGTGGGCTCTCCCTCCCAGCCTGCAGTAGCATTCAATGTGACCCAGAAAAGCCAGTTCAATCCCTGAATTGTGTGCTGTACGTACCGCGAGGTCCCATTGGACTCGACATACTGTTTGAACAGGGCTCGGGATTGGCTAATGCACTTCTCTTCATTCAGACTACAGGCCATCCCCAGCAGGGCTGAGCGAAGCTCCTGTTTGGACACGCTGTCCTCCTCTTCCCATGTTTGTTTGTCCATCAGAGAACCAAACTGATGCAGAATGTAAGACTGTCGTATGTAACAGAAACAATGATGAATACATTAGTGCACAAAAACACTACATTTAAACAGGTAACAAGAGTGAATAACACACAATATAACACAACTTTTTTTTTTTTTTCTTTTTACAAACTTGGACCCGGACTTTCAAAATGAAAACATCGAGCCGGAGTTTGACAGCAATGTGGCTTGTTATCTGTGTACAAGTAAGCGAGTGTGTGAGCGTGTGCATGTACCTTCATGCGGGCCACAAGGCGGTGCTCTTGTCTTTTGTCAAGCAGCCGGTAGATTACACCGAGCTGTAACAAGGCCTCCGTCACAGGAGAAGTATGAGTTTCATTGGACATGTACTTCAAAAGGTGGAGGACTTGATGGAAGGACACCCGTCCAAGTCTGTTAAAAACACAGGACAGTGCGGTAGAAAAAATCAAAGCTTTTTAAAAGGCAAACACTCCTCTCCTACAGTTTGTCCTGTAACTAAAGGCAACGTCGGTTTTACCTGGAAAGAGCAAACATGTTGTGTACGAGCGAGGCCCGGTCCTCGTGCGTCAGAACACTGACATTGTGGGACAGAGCGTCTATAAGAGCGGCCCAGCCCCCGTCCTCGTAGTGGGTGATGTAGAAGCCCGTGTTTCTGTAGTTCACCTTGACCCACTTCACACTTTCTGGTAGCTCCTTCAGCGTCCCTGAAAACACACACAAACATGCGGCATCTGGCCCAAAGTTCTCGATTGTCTTAACTCGATGTTGCAGGTAATACTTTGGGTTTTACCTGACTTGGTCTTCAGATAGAACGTCCTCCGGCACTCAGGGGCCACGCTACAGTTGTCAGTGACGTACGTCACCGGAATAATCCACAAGCTAAAAGGAGCATAGGATACAGTATGGGCTGTGTTGTGTTTCTATAATCTGTTTGTGGATGGGATTTAACCCACCTGGAAGTCTGCGTGGCGTTGTCAGACGTGAGCCGGAAGTGCTCCTGTGTGAGGGTCACCTGACCTCCCTTGCGGCTTACAGTGACCAACGGGAAGCCTTTCTGGGATGTCCATGAGCTCATCATCTCGGATACATTGGGGTGTTGGGCAGAGACCTCCACCTGAGGACAGGATGAGAAATGCAGAGTCCGTTTTGAAAGAGAATTACAGGGAAAAGATTAACGCTCTTAAAGGTCAATAAAAATGAAAGCTGCGAGCAGCGCTAGACGGGTTGTTGCTATTCCGCGCACGTGGGAACACTGGCTGATTGGCTACAAACCCGTCCAAGAATGGTGAGTCCGGGAATGACGCTTTGCAAACTGGACCTTTAACAATAACAAGATCTCAGGTCTTTTATGACAACAGTTGAGAGGGATCTGATTAATCTGCATTTTGTGTAGTGTTACAAAGTAAAAAGGGTAACTTCCTGTTACCACTAGTTGGAGCTAGTAGTTTAATATTTTTATAAGCTTTCTGCAATTTTTAAAGGCAAAGTCTCAAAATCACACTGCCTAAATTTGAAAAGAATTGGGTTGAATCTCTGGGAGGAGTTCGGGCTTTTACAACTACAAATAAATAATAATTACAAGCAGTAGCAGTAACCAAACGGAGCAACAGGGTCGATATAAAAGTAACACAACGAGCCTCTCGTCTGTCAGAAGCGGCCGCGCATGCGTGGTGACCTGACGTGACTTTTTTTCCCCCCCCAATGGCAGGTGATCTACCGGCACCGCGCTGGGACCAGGTCGCGCTCACTCAGAGTGCGACCTCCAGTGGACTCTTTAGGAATAGCAGCTACTTTTATAGAAATACAATTTATGTCTTTCTGTAATTCTCACAATAGCAAAGTCATCCGGCGTGCCGGATTCGGCCCACAAGGCTTGAGTTTGACACCTGTGTTGTAGAGCATATCCATGAGAGAATAATAATAATTCCTTGAAATACATGAGGTTCCCCTACGACTAGTAGTAGCGAGGAGCTACATGACATGTCAACTGTTAACAGAAGCCATTTTTGTTGATAATAAAGCTCCTGAGACATTTCTTCGTGACCAACCATTGAGTGAAGACAGTGACAGGAGCCAAACACAGCTGATCAGTAAATTTCAACCACAGATAACAGTTGGAAGATAAACTGTTGCAGATGTAGCCACACACACACACACACCTGTGTGAGACTGTTCCAGAGGTCGTTAGTGTCCGTGTTTAATCCACTGAACTCTTTCAGGTATTGAATGATACCCTTTCTGAACTGTTGGTCCCCTGGCAGGGAGGCATTCAGCATCAGTAGAATGGATGCACCCTGGAAGACACAGGCACACCCTAAACAAAGCACTCACTAAAGTTCTGAATGCACGTGAGGTCCAGTGGAGAAATATCCCTTTCAACAGTGAGGTATGGAGGTCCAGGGAATTAAGGATAGTTGCATCCATCTTCATGTATAACAGGTATGTAGAATTAGAAAGGCGTACCTTCTCATAGGAAACAGAGTCAAACATCTCTTCCACCTGCTCTGGCTTATTAACCTCTGTTGACACGGCGTGGGAGGAGTTAAGCGCATCTTTGTCCAAAGCTCTGAAGCGTACTGCCAGGAACAAATTACCCTACAAACAAACACAGGATTTACTGCAACGGCACACGACCGAGCACACAGCTTGATCTGCTTCACATTGTACGACGCAGAAGGGTTAACTTACAATGTCCAGCTGGGGAAAAACAGTCTGCAGCGACATGTACTGCATGTATGTGGCGAAGCCTTCGTTGAGCCACAGGTCATTCCACCACCTCATCGTTACCAGGTTCCCAAACCACTGCAAGTAATCATCACAGATAGATTAGGAGCAGCTTCGCTTTATCTTCTCCTTTCACACACCAACAGGCAAACACAACTACCTGATGAGCGAGCTCATGCGCGATGACGGAGGCCACCACTTGTTTTTCCAGATTAGAGGACTGTTTGCCCACAAGCAGGCTGGTCTCTCTGAACGTGATGAGTCCCCAGTTCTCCATGGCTCCTGCCAGGAAGTCTGGGATGGCTACCAGGTCTGTCAAAAGAGAAAGGAAGGATGTTGTGATATTGCGTGTGCACCTGGTGTGAGAAACGCCAAAGAACCCCTGTGCACTCACCTAGTTTTTTGAGGGGGTAGTTAATTTCAAAGAATCCATTGTAGAACTCCAGCAATTTGCAGCCTGTGTCCAGAGCGTAGTCTGTGTGCTCCCACTTCTCTGGCACGGAGTATACAGACACCTAAAACACACATATATGTACGTTATATATACGTTTATATATTGAAACTAAAAATGATTCATAGTTTAGAAAGATTTACCTGAGTTTCTGAAACATTTCTGCTGATATGGGTGAAGTTAGCTACGATGAAGGCGACCAGGTAGGTGCTCATGTTGACGCTGGTCTTTTCAAACTCATCTTCAATGACGTCATTGGGAAGTTGTGTGGTTTTGGCCTAAGATACAAAGGACAGTATTACTAACAAATAAAAAAATACAGCGCTACAAAACCAAACCAATCCATGACCTGCTTCTTTGCCCCCAGAGGGAGAGCTTCAAGGGAAGAGGTAACATAATGTACAGTGAGCAATGATGTTGTGTCTATCTATGTGACAGGCATTACATTATTGGTCAGATGTAGATGACAATGTGTGGAGGAGAGAAGGTGAGCGTGCACACTGACAAGGGACCAAACAATTTGTAGGTCCTAAACATTGTAAAGCTGAGAATAGACACCGATGGAAGCTGCATCAAGCATGCTACATGGAAATAGTCCAATTAGCATCGGGTGTTTTGATAGGGTTTTGGTTGGCGAGTTCAGAAATAATGGTTTTCTTTTTTTTTCTTCTAGTAAACTTTGTACTATGTTTCAACACTTAAAAAAACAGACGTTCATTAAATATTACAGTACCTTCGGCATGTTGGAAAGACTCAGGTGGTTTGGTTTCCTGCGGATTCTAATCAGGAAGGTGGCTTTGAAATCTGGTGCATCAAAGCAAGGAAAGGCCTTCCTAGCTGATAGTGGCTCGAACTGGGTTGCTGCTAAGACCCTGGTGACAAGCAGGAGATGAGCACAGTGATGCTAAAATGAGACATTTGCTGTAAAATCAACAAAGCAGCGTATTATTTCTGATTTGGAAATGTTATGACCCTCTTTTGTTTGAGTCAGTTCATAAGTTGAGCCAAAGGGGAAAAGTCTTTAATAAGTTGCTAAGTATTTTCACAGCCACATAGTCATGTGTACCTTTTGCTTCCATCTTTTTCAGTGTATGAGCTGTTGTAGAAACCGTCGTAAGTATGCGAGAGGTTGGCGGAGTATTCCAGAGTCAAAACGCAGTCCTGGCCGGTCTTCAGCACCTCCGTGAACGCAACAGCTATCTGCTCTCTGGGTTTGTACTCCAGCACAGTCACTCCTCTGGCCTGCCCGTCACCCAGCTGGAAGACAGGGATGGCCAGTTGACAAACAGCAGACAAGATAAGAAAAAGTAAAAGTTTGGAAGTGTGCGCATCATCTAAACTCTGAAGAGCCCCTTCTATCCCACCTTGAAGGTGGCTTTGGTGATGTTGAGGTAAGCGCTGTGCAGGACGATGCACTTGGTGTTGTGAAGCACAGACATGTGGATGATGGTGCGGCCGGTGAAGGTCATGCTGTCAAGGTCGGGGTTGAGGGTGAGGTCATAGCTAAGGGGACGTATGCTGCGAGGCAGCCGGAGCTGCGCCCATGGAAACACTTCGCCACTGGTGGACACAGGGTAGACTTTCTCGAAGGGAATGGTCGTGTTGGTCTTTGGACAACCACTCTGTAGTTGGATGGAGGTTTGGGGTCAGAAAAGAGAAAGGAGTGTGATTTCCACACAACGTGTAGAAAGAGTCATGTTTAGTTCTTTACACATGATCACACACGTTACGTAAACAGAAGCAATTCTTCTTTCTTACCCTGGTAAAGGTGCATCCAGGTAAGAAGTATAGCACCATAGTCATAGAGGCCACTATCACCAGAAATAACATACAGACAACCAGGGTACGAGCCGAGGGTCGTGCACATGACCTGAAACCAGAAGGAATTTCATTTACATATTCAGGATGAAAAGGAAAAGCAGTGCAAATAAAGACAAAAAAGTGACAAACAGTAGCTTCAACATTTGTAAAGTACTAGTCAAAGGTTTGTCCCCATTTTCTCATCCAATTCAATCCAAACTTTTAACTGGTACTGTATGTCACCACACTCATACAAACATGAGCTTTCCATGTGATAATGCACAATCATCAGTACTGTACAGCTTCCCAGATGATAATCACATCAGCGTATTACCTGGGTGCACCCTGCCTGGTGTACGGGGAAGAGAGGGATCTGTGGGCACCGCTGCGGTTCATGAAGGACATGCCCAGCAGACGGGCTGAGGATTCGCAGTCCTCGTCATCCTCGTCCATGTCGTTCTCCCCCAGGCCTCGCACCAGCAACCGCGAGCTGCGAGGCTCATACACCACGTCGTCGGGGTCAAGAGCTTGACTGGTCTGCAGAGAGCGTGCACAGTACACTCGGTCATTTTCTAATGTACAGTAGCTGTGCAGTGTTTCATGCATACGGTTCAGAACTGGCTGGCCCCTCCCAGGTAAATGAATACAGGGTAACATGAGCATAATGATTGGAGAGCAATAGAGGTTTTTGTTATTAGGTCTGCGGTTGACGCAGGAATAAACATATTGAACATCAGAGATGCAAAAAGGAATACAATTTAGGAGAGGGCTTGTTACACGTTAGACAGAGAGGGAAGGCAGAGTTAGCGTATTACGTTTTTTTGATACTGTACATCGGTAATGACAAGAGCTATGTGGGGCAGAGGGGCATCATGTATTCAAACACAGTTTTATTTCAGATAGTTGCAGCTGACCAAAAATAGTTTACAGAGCAGTAGTGAACGGAAGGTGTGCAAATGAGCATCATTAGCCTCCCACAAGTGTCAGCCACCCTCGAATGAACTGATCCTTATTGCCGTGGTCTGTTCCCATCATCAGATTTAGAGATGAAAGCACAAGAAAAGAAAGGGGACAAAATGGTGCAGATACAAAAAAATTCAAAATATTCAGCCAGATTGTTCCTTAAAATGGACACATTCATAGCAGACATGGCATACGATGACATGAACCTACTGGAAATGTAGTGGACTCTTTAGCCAAATCCACAACATCAGGCTCTTCTTCAAACATGCGGTTCTCGATCATGTTCCTCGGCTGGTTGGACCGGTCTGCAACACACAAAGGGAGAGAACTCAGAGGAGATTCTTAAAAGAAGAAATGAGAGCGGTGATATTATGAAAATGAGTATACACTGACATGCACACAGAATTGTATATTAAATATGTGCTGAGATTTTTAGAGTTCCAAAGCTTTTCACAGAAGCCAACTTTTGACTCAAAGTTTTGTTATTGTGTGACTACGTGCAGGAGACTTGTTTAACAAAAGGACCGATTGAGTTACTTCAGTTTCCTGTTGGTAATCCTCCTGCAGCATTTCCTGGTACTTTGGCCAACAAACAATGGTTTCATGGCCGTTGAAGCAACTACTATTAACTATATACATTTCCTTCACAGTTCATCCATAAAAGGTGTAGAAAGAAACCGTAGAAGAAAACCCTGGCAAAGGGCCTTATAAAACAGGAACAAGTGAATATTTATCATCTGCGTTTTCAGAATCGAGATTCATAACCAAAGTTATGCCATGTTTTACAAAGGCCCATGTGACTCGTTCAGCCAGATTCCCCCAACCGCCGTTCTCAGAAATCCTTGAAACAATCAGACGTATGTTCATCTTCCTAATTTAATAATATTAAAAGTAGGGAAAAATCTAAGCAATCCGAGTCTCCCGTAATGCATTATGTTACATCCCTGCTTTTAAAAAGTGAAAACAATGCATTTTTAGTCTCAGTTGGTGATGGATTGGAAAGCACAGAGAGCCAGTAAACACTTATTGTCAGAGCCCAAAGTGTGTCTGTTTGTTAATTGGAGTTTTAGAAATGCTGATTATTTGGATATATTGAGAGGTATATATGTTGGATTGACGCTCCCTTTATTTACTTATATTGACACCATGTTTGCAGCAGATGTGACTTGGATGAGCTAATCAGGCACCAGAGCACAGTTTTTCTACCATGTGACGGAAGTTGTTTTTGTGTATTTAGTGAATGCTTTTGCTGCGTGAAATAAACACCAAATGAAAAGAACTCCTGTCATTCGCGTTAAAAAAATTAACTCAGTGTGTCTGCAGTGCAATTGCGGTTTAAAAATGTACGTTGCCGAATGAACGCCGCTACACTTCTGACTATACACAGTGATCTTTTCATACAGAAAAAATTGCAACAAACAAAGTTTACCTTTAGCTCCCTAAACGAAAGACTTAAGTCCGGCAATGCACAAGGTCAACATCCTTCCTTGTATGTCCTGTAAAGTGTTTATGGTGAGACTGTACGAGCTGTCGCCACATTCTGTCTGAACGCCATTGCTGTGGTACAATATTCTATTAATAGGCTAAGAGCCAAGTGGTGGGTGATGTGCAACGTGCAGAGGAGGATATGACAAAATCAAGATGCATCAAAGCACATCAAACTTGATCAATCATAAATTAATATGATACCTACTTCCAATTGAGGGGATAAAATGCTGATAAGCAAGATAGCATGCTCGGATGAGAGGGGGAAATGTACGCGATGGTCATCATCTAGACTATAATTAGAAGACACACCAGGCAAATGTGAACCATCAACTCCGGTAATTTGCTCACAAGCTATAAGAAATACAGCAGCAAGTCGTGTTCATCGGCTGACCACTTCCTGTCACACAAAATACATTCATTGGACAAGTGTGTCCGCCGTGTAAGAAGAGACAACACGCCACATAAGATGCAAAGTGCTGAGACACAATGCTGACACGGGTTGGTTGGTCTTTAAAAAAATTAGGGGAAGGAAGCATCTGTTCCTGTTTACTCACCATTGTCTGATCACAGGGTGGTTGTGAAATGTGACTTCGGCTAAAAGCTCACTAAGTCAAAACACGCAGGAAGGACAAACAGGAAGTAGTTCTGCTGTGATTTGCTGATGACTTCTTCCAGGGTGAAAAGAAACTACTAGGACCATAATAGAGGTTACACAGCAGCTGTCTTCTGCTCGCCCGAGCTGTGCAGATCATTGTCAGCCACACGAAGACCGCACATGGCTATAATCAAATCAACAGACAGACATCGCTGCTGTGTCCAACAGTCTACTGGGTCCTCACAGAGACACAGTGTGTGTGTGTGTGTGTGTGTGTGTGTAGGCATCGCTTGAATCTAACTTGCGACCCAACGTGAAATGTTAGTTACTACATTACTACACTACGTTGTAGTAAGCTAACGTTAGTAAACAAGAATCAGACTAACGCGTTCCGCACTAACCAACAGAGACACGCGGTATTTAACCTAACGTTATGTTCTGACATGTTACCAACTGTATAAAAAAACAATACTAACTGAGGAAAACAACCGATACCAGTCCCTGCAAAGAGAAACGAAAAGTCAAACTTGTCCCTGTCCACACGTGTCCTCGAGTGAATGTCACTCCCATTTAGCTCTGTGCTAATGCCAGCGGTAGTTATTAGCTGGCCCGGAGCTGCTAACCCGCAAAGGTATTTACCTGTGTTGTTACTGTCGAACGGATCCATGGCGCGAGGACGTCTCGAGCGGCTCCTCTCGGACAGCTAACGTGAGCTCAGCTAACGTGAGCTAGCGACGCACAATCCACGGTGCGCGTTAACGGACGCGTTCAATAAGTAGCCGCCCGTCCTCGCGGCTCTGACGTTGACTTGGAAACCGCTAGCCGACGACTGATAACGTTGATTGATAATAACGGAAGCTGGTATCCATAACTTCGTAAACAACTGCTGCTTAGTGGAATACAACGGGAACGCGCCGTTGTTTGACAGTCTTACGATAACGATGTGTGCACAAATCTCAGCCTGACGTGCCTGGAGATAAACGAACAAATGTCACTTTCCTTCCTCCCCGACCGGTTGTTGACAACCTCTCATCAAATGACAAACTGGCATCCTATTGGATGTACGTGCTGTGGGGCGGGGCATACGAAACCCGAGGTCAAGACAGCCCCGCTCCCAAAAAGCCGGCCAGCCCCCATGTTAATGTGTAGTGCGCGTGTGTATCAGGCGTTACGGTACAAGCGGAAGGAACTGCTTTCAAAATAAGATATGTCACGTTCATTCAATAAGTCAGTCAAAAAATATGTATGTCATAAATGAATTCGTTTAATTTAAATAGATGAAGCTATATGGATTACAAAAACTCATGCATGAGATTTTTTTCTAATCACATTTATTACCATTTGATTTTAAATCTAACGTGAAAATAGCAATGAATTGCAATGGTCAATTTGAAATCATACCGGTCCGTTTACATGTATTCTTTATTAATATTTTGACACAAAATGTAGTCAAAGTGTTCACACAATTTGAATTTCATCTTTCTTTGAAAAACAATTTACATGCGGTAGTTTGTTTAGCAAGCTATTGAAATGCATAAATTGTTATTGATTCAATTAGTTGCATTTTTTGATCAACATAATATAGTTATTGACGGAATTAATAAATAAATGTGACATGTCTTATCCCTTTTACTGGAACTTATTTTGAAGTCAGTTCCTAAATGTTCTTACCGTAATGCCCAACACATACGCGCACTGTCAAATAACGTGCTTGACCGCAGTATACAAAATGCGTAAGCCCGTCAATACAAAAACTGAATTTCCATCAACTGCTTAACTTCAACCCTGGCCCAACGCAAGCTTAACTCTAGATATTTACATTTACTCTAAACCTGAAACAGTCTGAACTATCAAATATGGTTTCAACATCGAAAAGGGAACACTGTATTTACTGGAACTAGATCTTTTTATATCCAATATATTAATGCCCGGAGCTCAACCCTAAATATTAACCCACATGTCTAACCTCAACAATAACCTATGTATAGCTCTCACTAGAATCCCAAATTGTAGCCCCGAAATGAACAGTTAATATGATGAATACCAAGTGTATACACAAACAAACAAACCCAGTCTGGTTGTATTTAACAAAATAATATGTTTCAGCAATGCACACAAAGGGGCCAGCAGGAACACTTTTATTGTCCATTTGGTAAATTAACTACCCAGCATGTAAACTCTCTCTCTATCTATCTATCTATCTGAGTCAAACCAATACATCTCTGCTAATTTAGAAAACAGTAATTACATTAGAAATTGTCAGCTTTTCTGTGATATTGTACACACAAAAAAAGTTTTTAAAAAGTGCAATATCCCAAATAACTTTCAAATATCCTTGCTTTGGTGTCTAACCATCACCTCTCTTTCTGCAGTATTTCACTGTAATGTTTTGTTCAACCAGTTTCTCATAGTCTCTAGGTTCCTCTGAAACCAGCGAACATTTTTCTGCACGTTGTCCAGGGCCACCTGAGAGGCTCTCAGCTGAGACGCCTGCTCTTTGATGGACTCAAAGAACGACTGCACCTGGGGATCAAACACATAGCCTTTAACATTTACAGCACACCCAAAACCGCTAGCACACATGTATTAATGCTTAAACTTTCATGGATATCTATTTTTAGGTCAGTATAACAGTATTTCACAACATATGGAAATTGGAAATAGTTTTTCAGAGTGCATCAGAGCCGAGTTCCTGTGCGTTACCCATAACCACACTGTCCGCTGACCATTACCAATTACATTGCCAATGCCAACCAATAATTATAATAATAATGTTGAAATATTGGTCAATATTTATCTCTAAATTTTCTTTTTGAATAAAGATACATTCAAGGTATAAGGGGGAATTTACTTCAGCGAGTTCGTCTGGAGAGGAAAACTGGCCTGTGGTGCCTATGATGATGTTTCTAATACAAAATGAGCCCAACTCGAACCTGCGGAGCAGAAAGACAACAGAGAGGACACTCACGGGTTATAACCTTTTCCTCCATTTGCACACCCTGTTATTTAGCGGTTTTCATAGCTGCCCCTTGTCATTAAAAGTCATTAAACATAAAGCCAGGTATTACCGTTTTTGTACTCGGGCAAAAGAAAAAGAAAAAAAAAACGGTTAGAAATTCAAAATTTTGACTTAAGAATGTCGAAATTCTGAGATAAAAAATCAAAATTACACTGAACTCCACACCTCAATGAGTTTCGGAGTGTAAATTATCTTTGGTATTTCTGAGTCAGAGATAAATCAGACTTATTGGGAGATAAAATACATTCCGGGTGGTATTTATTCCATAGCTCTCGTGATTAGTAACGTTTTAAAAGACAGTTCTCTTATTATTGAACCATTGTTGCCAACTCATCACCGAGGAAAGCCGCTGCAGAATCAGCAGCGGCTTTGCACACGCACACGTGACTTTCAGTCTGGAAGTGACGTGCGTCTCCTCTGTGCTCTGACTGCAGCTGGACGGCTGCAAGCCGGCAGGTTTCTGTGAGACTCGCCGAGGACAGTAACTGCAAAACAATACGTACTTTCACGTCAGACACCACGAAAGTCTCCAATAAAACATGATACGGTCGCTTTTGACAAAAAGTCGCCAAGAGGGTTTGGATAGTCAATTTACCAAACAACAAAGGAGGTTTGGCATGCGCATCTCTTAAGTCGCAATTTTGACTTTTTATCTCATAATTTCGACTTTCTTGAGTCATAATTTTGCCATTTTACATGTCAAGCTGGTAAAAAACACCAGATTGACATAGAAATGTTAAAAAAAAAAAATGTAAGTGCATTTTCATAGCACCCCGTGTTTTGACGTATACTTTCGTTCACGATGGTCCCCATTATGTTGCACTAACTTTTGAACCAGCGTGTCCCAGTTCTTTTTGACAAAGTTCCAGGCGAGGTGATGTCCCCGCGGGTTCCTGGCTACCATCAGGATGAGAGATGACAGGTCCTGGGATCGAATCACCTTCCCCTCAAGACCCAACTCCAGCAGTCTGGAACACAAGAGCACACTTTATAACCTGCTGTAGTGACACCTGCCAACACCCTACGATGTTTGGCACATGTCGAACTAGACACAGAATAAATATCAGATTTCTGTTGGCTGTAGTACCGAATGTTAGCCACACGACAACAGCATAAGCTGCGTGAAAAATGTCTCGGGGGGAGGGGGGTAGATGTACCTGTGTAGTTTTTTTGTGTCTCTGCTGCAGGTCAAGGCAAACAGGATTTGGCTTTTTTGCGCTGCGGAGAGTGCGATGCTGTATGTGTGTAGCAGTGACGCCCAGCCACGGTCATCTTGAGCTCCAACTGAAAACACCGTCTCTGCCACATCGGTTGGCAAGCTAAGGTAAACAAGCGGAGATGCAAATCAGAGGTGCAATGAAACATGAAATAATACGTTCTAACGCAGCTGCTGTTTGTGTGCATGATGTCATCATTTAGAAGGACATACTTGAGTGTGCCATTGGACTGAAGCCAGTCTGCGAAGATCGCCCGTGCCCGCTCCAGACAGCGAGGGTCCTCCAGGTGGCAAGCCAGTGACAGGAGCTTTGACCTCAGCCGTCGCTCGGACACGGAGCCACCGTCACTCCACGTCTGCCGGTCGATGACCGCACGGAAAAATCGCAGAATGTGCCTCTTCGCACAGAAGAAAAAAGAAATAAAACCGCAGCGCATACTGACATTTTCTGAAATATTACACTCAAATTGTACTTGTATCTTCTTACCCGCAGGTTGCTTATTACTTCCAATTCATTCCTTTTCTCGATCATCCTGTAGAAGGCCTCCAGGTAGCCAAGTCCTTGGAGAAGAGGCACAGTGTGTGTCTCCAACTGCAGGTAACCAATTAGGTCCAAGCCTTTATTGAGCGGCAGATGACCTGCCCTTTAGAGACATACAACAATATTTATAGTTGTTATTTGAGGTGGGATCATTTTAGTTGTTTTGTTTATGTCACTGTTTGTCTTGTTGTCTCATAGAAACAGACACACACACACGCACACAGAGGCTTACGTGACCAATTGAAAGGCGTTGTGTATCAATTGAGTTCTGTCTTTGTAGCTGAGAGCAGTGTGGTTTTCCCTCAGTAGCTTTGTCATCTCGTCCCAACCACCATCCTCATAATGAACCACATAATAGCCGGTCATGTCAGTGTTTACTTTCACCCAGCTGACTTCCTCTCCTATATGTATACTATCTAAAAGAGACAAACATAGCAAAAGAGAGGAAACAATACAATTTAAAATCAAAAATGTAGATCTGCATCAAATATGTTTAACGTATTCTTCCTTCACCGTTACCTGTGTGTGTTGTCATCAGGTGTCTGTGGATGGTGCCTGAAGCATCGGTCTTGTAAGTCAGGGGGATGTGCCAAAGGAAACTAGGAATGAAAACAGTGTGTTATTCAAACAGAAAACAGATCAAACCCAACACCTACTCTATATTAAAGTTAATAATGGGCATGAAGCTTCAAAATCAAAAACAAAAGAGTAGAAATGTGTAGTTTTTCTGCTTCCGAGTAGTAACAAAAACTCACCCATGTTGCAAAGCTGCCCAGAGAGGGTCAGAAGGCAGCACTGTCCTTAAGAACCTGTCCTGCCTCAGCAGCAGATTGGGCCCTTTCCTAGTTACTGTTACCAGGGGGACACCTTTCTGCAGGATCCAGGTGTTCATCATGGCTGTCAGGTCCATGTGCTCACCTGCAAACAGGTACTGCAGGAGACAATGAATGCAACCGCACCATCACAAGATAAGAAAATAATGATGTACAATATTTAAAAAGAAAACCGCAATGAATAGATGTCAGTGAGTGGATGTTTATGCGTTTACTCACTGCATTCTTGGATGCCTGGCTGCTGCTGTAACAGTGTTTTCCTGAGATGAAGTCCTCCTCGGAGCATGTCTGGAAAACAACAAAAGATATTTGTAAATCGCATTTACCTCACGGCCTCCCATAGTCATTTGTTATGTTTTTAAAATTTGAACCCTGTACTTTCATTTTTGTAAATATTATGTTATCAATGCTATGCATTG